ATATCATATACACATATATATATATATATATATGTATATATATATACGTACTTATGTATTTACGTATGTGTTCATGTGTATTACATGTTGTTAGGTTAGGCTAGGTTAGACTAGATTAAGGTTAAGTGGAATCGGTAGACAGACTAGATATACGAGATTGAACTAGATTAGGTTCGATTAGATATAGAAGAGGATAGGATAGATGAGTAGCTCCTGAAAACAGGGGTACCTTATTCAGGTGTCGGTTTCTGCCACTAGATCACAGTCGATCGAGGACTTGTTAAGATGACGACTGCTTGCATCCCCAGCACAAGCTCCGCAAGATGGGCAGCTCATGCTTACCACATCCCATGGGAGACTCTTCTTATGGGCCTGCTCACGAGTTTGTTTTCACAGGGAGAGATGCATTGAGCATGGAGGGGTGGGAGGGGGAGTGCGGCGAGAGAGAGAGAGAGAGAGAGAAACAGAGAGAGAGAGAGAGCGAGAGAGAGAGAGAGAGCACCAGACAGAGCGTGGGGAACATACGCAGAAATGATTTTTTTGCCATCGATTTCAAGCAACTCGTGTCCTCATACTCATAGACTACCCACATCTGCGGAAGGTCTGCGAACACGGCAGGGGTGATGGCCGACAGCACCCGGATCGCATCGAAGCAGTTGAATATCGGCCCGTGTGGGCCTCAGAGCTTTGCTGTCACAAGGAAACCGGTGATTTTACAGGGGTGGACATCGGGCTCTCTCTGTGCAAAACCAGATGATTGAACCTCAAATGTTGAGGTGATTACTGACCGTAGACCCTAAAACTTAGACTTCGTCGCACCAATGGCTCTGTAAGGTTCCACTCGCAGGCGGGCACTAGATAGGAAGTCCGCCCGTTTCAGACAACGGGAAAGTGACGACCCTCCATCCCACAGCCCCAGTGCCCTAACGAAGCCTGGCAGCTTCAACTTACGATCTCTGTCGGCGCAAGGGTTTGGGGTTTAGGGTTTAGGGGGCGACCGACTCCAGGCGAAGTACGAAGCCTGTTGCAAAGGGGTGTGAATGACAGGATCCGGAAAATTGTGTTGCACTTGACTTCAGCTTCAGCGCCGATGTCGCGGTCGGCTACAGTAAGGAGGCAGACGAGTACACGACATGTTTTTCGAGGTTGAGGAAATCGACTAAGGCTGTTTTGGTGCTTGACTTTTCAGAGCCAGGAATTTCGGTATTTGCATACTTGGCAGTTGACACATAAGAGAGCTTTGGTTGAACTGAGGTTCCATCTTCGCTTTAGTCCGTCCTTCCGTCTCGTTACCCGGACCTGGAGACGTGGAGGTCGTGTATCCGGCATCGTGATGCCTTCCCGAGCTGGGAATGCTTGGCCTACAGTCTCCATTTTACTTCCTTTCCCGGGTTTCCTTACAGGATCCTTAAAAAAAACAGCTGGGTTAATGAAGGCTATACTGCAGGTACTCGTACAACCTAGAAGGGATCCCAGCACCCCAATCCCGAAATGGGTCTCTGCCTCCGCGGCAACTCAAGGTCGTATTCCGGAGCCCTGGCGGGGTCGCGCGTGCGCAGCACCTCGTTGCATCCTCGGCCAAATCTACAAAGCATTGCTGTGAGCTTGTGAAGCCTTGCTGTTTGCTGTTTTGCTTCACAGCTACAGACGTAGGACAAGGTGGCCGCAACAGTTGCCAACAATAACAAGCTCTGGGGCAATTGGGCAAGCTTCCCGCATCGGTCCTGTCTTGGAAACAGGAGCTAAAGAGGCGACGGTTAAAGCTAACACAACTCAAAGGCTAAATCGTCTTTGTCATAGACTTCACGTCGGCATAACTGACGTCAATTGTTTATGGTTTGGGGAGGAATGCGATTGCCACCGACGGAGCAGGGGAGTTAAACTTCGCACAGGCCTGGCCTCTAGGAACATCGCTCATCGACACCAGGCCACCTGCAGTCTGATGGCTCGCTGGTTTCTGGTCTCTAGGCGAGGCGGGGCATCAACCCGAAGCTTGGACCCAAACCTTATCCCTCGACAGAACGCCCAGTTGTAGCTATAAAGCATTACATCATACTGCGATACTGTCTTTGCTCGACTGTACCACGACATGTATCCACACGCCACACTTTGTCACAGGATGAGAAGAACGACAATCTCAGGTCATCCGGCTACTCGGAGCAAGTGGAGCCCCGGACCAGGCCTCGCAGGGCATGAAGACTAAGTAGTATTTTTAGGAGCCTGATTCAGAAACCCTGGTCCTACAACCCCAAAACACTGGGATCCATATAAGGAGCCCTAACGCAGACCCAAGATTTCCTTATCAGACTCCGATGCTTGATCTAGAGCTTTCGGGGGGCGCGTAGAGGGGTTTAGGGTTTGGGTTATCAGGCCCACACTTCGTCAGGACTACTGCATGTCTC